ATCATTGGCTCATACAAAACCGAAGTTTCACTCTTGCATCATGAATTTATAATATTATATATGATAATAATCATCTAATAATAATTATAAATAATAATCATAAAACTCCATCTGAAATAACAATTACTCACATAACAACTTGAAAAAGAGAAGATTGTGTTATTACAGTATTGTACAGAGGCGCCTATTTCACATTCGCAATACAATTTAAAGGAACCGGAGCATTCCGGAAGACCGGAATCACGAACACACCAACCGTAGGAAATAGGAAATGTATAATTGCGAGGCTATCCAGCCGACATCCTGCCGGGATATCTCTTTATTTACACGTACGTGTAATGTTTGCCGCAAACAATTAGAAGAGCACAAGAAAGCGGGATTTGAGGTTTATTGAATGTGGTACTGTTGCGTTGTTTCTGTTTCGGTTGTAACAGTTGATATCAGTTGTTTTGGTGACCGTGCGGAATATTTCTTCATAATATACTTAGTGATTCTAAGTTCTAACATAAAATTAAAATGAATGGAGAAAAATCAAAATAGCTTCCGTTAATCAGCTGTTTCTTTTTGCAAATTTCTCACAGCAAACGAAAAAGCTTGCTAGATACGAATCATTAGCTCCATATATGAACCATAAAACAAATGTGGAGGTACCTAAAAGGATATTTGATACAATGGGTCAATGTGAAAGATAAAAAGTTATGAAAAAATATACCTAAACAGGGTTTACAGGGAATTATTCAAACAGAAACGTTTGGAAAAAGTTGGGGTATTGCTTAAATTTTCTGATTGAATTCAAATCACTGTGGAAGAAACTACTGTGTTAGCGAAACATGTCATGATATATTTCTAAAATGGAGTTTGTGGAAATAAAATCGTAAGGTGTAGTTTATGAAAAAAGTATTGCTAGAACAGGGCATGGATTAACTCAAAATATTTACAGGGCTGTTCACCGAAGTCTGTTCATGCAAAAGTTATTTTATAGTCCATTGGTGTAACATAGAGAAACGAACTTGTAACACCAGACAGTGCTATTTCCACTCACCAAGATCTCATTAATGGGCATGATGATTTGATAATCTTTGACTATAAAGGGAGAGTTGATTGATACAATTTTCATTATTATCCTTGAGTTTTTTGGTGTAATTCCAATAAGTTACTTATTGTGAAACTTGAAGTAGTTGGTTTTTGGTATAGTTATCTTCAAAATACAAATTGTTATGCATCAAAAAAACTTCGTATTTCATCTTTCCTCGAATTTTTATTCGGTACTTTGATGAGCTGTTGCAAATGATAGGAAGCGTTGTCAAGAATTATCACATTATTCGCATCCAAATTTGAGATCAACATAATTTTAAATAATTTAGAACCCATATTTTACTCCTTCCGCAATACCCAATGATTAATCGCGATCCTTTGTTTGCAGGCACGTTGAGCGTATATATTTTCGAACCATCAGTCCACCCTCTCGTTACTGTGTCATGAGTGTAATACCAAGTTTCGTCCAAATAGAAAATTTGCCGTTGTTCTTGTCTACATTTAGTTATTTGTTCAAAGCATTTGTTACGCAATTCCACAATTCTTCTGATTTTTATAACTGCTATTATTTTGAATCTAAATCCCAGTTTTTTTATTCAAGAGTTTTGTCATAGCAGCTCATGTTATGGCCGGAAGTATTCAATTTCTTGCTTATGATTTCAATTGTAGGTATCTCATTGCTTTATAACAGCCGTATATTGTTTTTTCCAATGATTTTATTAGATGAAGGAAACAGCGTTGTCTGGAGTTGAATCACAAGAACATCTAGTTGCTTTGCAGTGACAGCTGCAGCTTCCACTGAATTGAAAGATAGAAGTGAATCTCCCTAGGCGGTCGATGTCAGAGCTTGGCTTTGTAACTGATCACCTTGGAAATCCCTGTTCATTATCGATATTCAAAGATTGAGTCTTTTGTCGATCCCATAGATGGCTATGATACAGATGTCATCACCTTCACTGTATTTATTTATTTATTTTCAGTGGAATACAAAACGAGACGAACCTAAAAAAAATATTCACAAATGATGAGGTGAAAATAATAATAAATGATTTGATTGTTATGAATAATATGCAACATCGTGTTATGAACACTGCAGTGCAGTGCAAATTACAAAAGTTAAATATGAAAAAGGTGATTGTATGAACGTTTGAGGGACGTGGTGAAGATTGCAAGGGAATTAGAAAATATGTCAATATCTATCGATTTGGATATAGAGTTGTGGAATTTACACCACCTATTTGGGGGAGAATTCAAATAGTAATTAGTTGGAATTGATATAATCTTCTGGTATTATACAGAGGTACATTCATCAAAAGTTGGTTCAATATAAAACTGCTGTCCAAACAATTATTTATTATTTTATATAGGAACTTAATATCAGCTATTTGGCGTCGAGAGGGACTCCGGAAGTAATATTAATGAATCTAGAACTAAATTTTTCCAGAGTGACTGTCTGAGACCTATTTGTAATATACGACTGAAACTATCTCAGCAGATCACCGTGTATACCGATTTCCGCCAGCTTGTTGAGTGAAGTTGCCTGATCTATCTTGTCAAATGCTATGCTGAAATCGGTATAGTTGGCATCAACCTGGTAGCCTTTATCCATGCTCTTCAAGATATATTCAGTATAAACAAATAAATTGATTTCAATCCAGCGATGTTTTACAAATCCATGCTGTTCATTATTGATTGAGGATCCAACATCAAAGTTTATATAGTCACAAATGATTGATTCGAAAAGTTTGGAAATTAGGCAGAGTTTTGATATATGGCGATACAGAGTTACAGATGGAGAGTTTATCTGCAGACAATAAGAACCACACAGGGAATGTCATCACTGGATTTTAAGAGAAAAGTAATTCATGGACAACCCAAATAATGTTCAGAAAAATATGACAGCTATCCAACAAAGGGTACATGAAGTGGAAAGGAAATTGCTGGAATGAGAACGAAGAGAGATGGAAGCCAAAACGCAATGTGTCATGAAATCCTCACGAGTAAGCGAATGTAATTTGTGAAACAAAAAAGGCAAAAACATTCAACATGCAATGGGGGTCATTGTTGGTAATACTGCACTGAAAACTCATCAATTCATCCTTCCACATACTGCAGACTAATCTTGACTAACAATTTTCAATCGTCATCAGTTAATATCTCACTAATATATGAGAAACATTTTCGCAAGTTCTTTTAGCAAATAATCATCGCGATAATTTGATTGTGGTATCTCTTCATATACGAACAAAAATTTGATAATTTTGTTTCATCTTCAGTAGATCCTCTCAGATATAACACACATGTGCTTGCGTTTTTTCCCAATCCTCGGAGCACTTCTACAGTTTTAATATGTCTTAGCGGTTCAGATTTCATCCACTCAATCATGGCACAACATCGTATTTCCTTGGGCCCCTTCAATCTTGGAAACAGAAACAAGTCACGGGGGGTCAAATCTGGTGAATATGGTGACTGAGGCATGATTACGGTGTTATTTTTGGC